TCTTGTGTAGCTTTTTGCCTTTCCTGGAACTCACTTGGTAGCCCAGGCTGGCCTCGAACTCACAGAGATTCGCCTGCCTCTGCCTCCCGAGTGCTGGGATTAAAGGCATGCGCCACCACCGCCCGGCAAAAACATCATTTATTCTTATTGTTAATTTTGGTCTTTGTTCATTCATAGAAGTTTGCCAAAAATTTTTCTTTATGGTTTCTCCTGAATTATCTGATCTCTCTGTCTCAGCTGTTCTATCACCCCGAGCAGACTGGCTTATTCCAATAGGCATTTGGTTATTTAATTGCTCTGAGTAGGGGTTTCTTCTACAACTGCAGGAAAGGTCTGAACTGGATTTGCTGTGGGGGCCTGCCTGCGGCCCCTCTGGGAGTTTCCCAAAGACAGAGGCAAAAGATTACCCTGTCTGTCCCTTGTTGATCTACATTCATTGGTTCAATGTTTTCCCCTACCACACCTTCTGCCTACTCTAGAAGGAAGGGGCATTTTGTTGCCATTGCTCCTTGAAGAAAAACTGTTTCTAGGAATGCCCTGTTTACAGTCTCTTTTCAAATGTCCTTGCTTTCCACATCCAAAACATCTGACAGTCCTCAAACCTCTTGAAATTGCTTCTCCTGTCCACATATTATCATGGTCGTGAGCTTCAACATTAAATGTGTCTCTAATCCAATATTCCAAGAGTGCAGATCTTGCCTTTAACGGCCTGATTATTCTCTTGCATGCTACATTCATGTTCTCAAAAGCCAAAGATTTGATTATTATCTGGCTAGTTTCTGAATTCGGGACCATTCTCTTTACTGCTGAAGTCAGTCTTTGTAAGAAATCTGTGAAGGATTCTTTTGGGCCCTGTATAACCTTTGTAAATGACTCAGTTTTATTTCCTGCTTCCTCAATTCTGTCCAATGCATTCAAGGCTGCCATTCAACATAGAATTAGGGTTTAGTTATCATATAAACATTGTCTTTGTATTTCAGCATATTGGTCTCCTCCAACAAGTTGATCCTGGGAGATTTCCATACCTCTAGCCCTCCACTGATTTTCTGTTTTTAGCTTCATAACCACATGCGCCACTGCAGCTGTGCCCCTGGTTCCAGGAGACCATTTACCAGCTCTCGCCAGTCCTGGGGTATAATCTCATTACAAGTTGACTAGAAGTTTAACATTTGCTTTACAAATGGGGAATGCATGCCATAAGATACTATTGCCTCCTTAAACCTTTATAAATCCAACATTTCAATTGGAGTCCAAATATTTTGTGCATTCACTTGACTAGGTAGCTGCTGTACCAGACAAATTAAGGGTGATTGGGTAAAAACAGGCTTTCTTTCTGTAACCTTATAATCCAACTCTAAAACAATTTCACTGTTAATTTCTTCTGTCTGAATATGAATTTCTCTATAATTCATTTTAACAGGTTTTTATAAAACTTTTATTCTGCCACTTAAGTTGACTATCTTTTTAAATAGTAAAATAAGGATAAGAAAAGTAATAATGTGCATAACTGATATAATGTACATCCCATCAATATTAATCTTTTCATATAGTTGTTCTATTTTCAGACTGCCTAAAATTTTATCAAACAAAGTCCAATTTTCTTCTAATGTACACATACCCATTTTTTAATGTGGAAAAATTCTCTCTTTTAAATGTTTTTTTTTCTTTAAAATATCTGATATCTTAATTGACTTACCAAGTCTGCATAGAACAGTAGAAATCTGAGGGAATTTCAAAATAGTTACCTAGCATCCAAGATGGGTGTCCAGAGAGAGAGAGAGAGAGAGAGAGAGAGAGAGAGAGA